CTCAATCCCGGAGGACACGGATGGAAGCTCAGTTCACTCCGTGACCTTCTCGGCAGAGGGGGAGATGATCGTCGAAGCTCGGTGAATGCTTGGTGGGCTAAGGGATCTATAGGGGTTTAGGGCTCCTCAAAGGGATCAATAGGAGTTCCTCTAATGGGATCCATAAAGGATCTATAGGGTTCAGGGTTTAGGGTTTGGGGGGTTCAGGGTGTATGGTGAATGTTTGCTGGGTTAAGGGAGCTTACAGGACGTTTGTGTGTACAGGCGTTCATACAGAGTGTTATTTGAGGGATCCCAATACATCCTGGTAACCTATATAGCAGGTTACTGGGCCCAGTGCCCGGAATAGGGGATGTTTGCCCGCAAGAGACCCTACGCCAGGAACCGAAAGTGGTTCAGGAACCATAGGTATATACAAATTACAATATATACTATATAATTTAGCTATAATATATATATATATATATATATATATACTAAAATATACTATGATATACTATAATATACTTATACTATATATATAATAATATATACTATAATATCTACCAAAATATATATACTATATCAAAGTATATATACATATACTATACTATACTAATATGGATTGAATTGAAGCCACGGGCTGGGGTGGTTGTGTGGTCAATAAGCACTTTGCAATTGCCGCCTCGCTCGTTCAAGCTACCGTACTAGTGTAGAATCCCGAAGCCGTTACCGCCAAATCCCTAATCGCCCTTAAACCCGCTAGACTGCACCCATTAGAGGATCTTCTGACTGTGGATATCGATTGAAGATCTTACCCTTACGAGGTTTCCGGCGGGTTCATACGAAAACACCTCCATATGGCCACACCCTTGCAAACCGGAACCCTGAACTCCCAGAACATCTTCATAACCCGGGCCTCCCGCGAGGATCCCCTTAAACCCTACCCTAAGGCTCCAGTTACCCAAAAAATGATAGAGGTTACTAGCCATTATTATATTATCCCAGCAACCTACTATTAAAGGTAACTGGAGCCCTAGGCTAAACTCTAGACTCTAGACTATAAACCCCTAAACCCCACAATCCTAAACCCTCGAAGCTTTGGCCGAGCGATTTTCACTGCAGCGGACGTCGCTGCGATCGCACCAGCTCCCGAGGTTTCTCGGCCACGACCCTTCAGGGGCAGGGCCTTAAGGGAATACGGAGCTCGAGGTTTGTAATTATAGGGGTATGCGTAGGGACGGGGTCTTTGTAACACCCAGATCCTGAGCAAACTCCGCTTTAGCACACGATGTTCAAAGTGAGCACCGGCACGTGCTTTGACACAGACAGGTTTAAGCAAGCCAAGGCTGTCTTCCTGCGAGAAGCAATGTTGAAATCGCGAATTGTAGCCTGAGTCGGCCAGTTTATGGTGTCGAGCAAATGCCTTTGGAATCAAGGTATTTAACAACAAGCTACAAAAGCTGTTCATGGATGCAGCAAGCCACCCTCGGACCGGATGTCCAGAAGAGTTTCTTCGTATGCCTAAGAATGCATATGGATGGACCCAACCGCCCGGTCTTCATTCAACAAATATTCAATCACACAACATAGGTACCGAAACAGGCAAGGGGCGTGCATCTTTGGCCGAAGGAAAAACCTCAAGCGGCCTTCGGCAAGGAACCTTCTCGCACACTCACGACACAATACCAGGAATCGCATACCACGGGTGTAGAGGTCTTCGGATTCCACCGTCGTCAGAAAACGTGGCAGCTTTTCAGAGAGCAGCTGCCAATCAGCGATCGTATGCCTAGCTCACTGGATTGAGGGGTTTGGAGATTTGTGGCAAAGGGTTTTAGGGCTCCAGGGTGCAGGGGTTACTGATCGAATTCAATTTGCGGCTCCGGGCTTCTGGTTTAGTTTCGGATTTGGAGGCCTAGGCATTGGGTGTCCGTACACGTGCTTTCTTCTACGACTACATGGTATGTAGCTATATGTGCCCATATATACATATAGGGTCACGATCCTATAACTTATCAGGGCAACACTTCAAATCTCGTAAAATAGTATCAGCACAGATGCACAGTGCTGCATATCAGGCTCGTAAGCTGTAGCCGCTGCTGGTATGCTGGATCATCCTCATTTTGCAGTCGGGCCCTCAAAGCAGCTTGCGTCGACGAAGAGGTCATTGCATCCTTTGGAATTTAGAGTTTACTTTCTTCGGGTTTAGGGCTGGGGTTCGTAGATTAAGAATTCTCGGATTATCTGGATACTCGTATGGTTTAGGGCTGTGGCGGTCTAGGGCCTCGGGGTTAAGGGTTGGGGTGTCGCATTGCCCTGGGATTAATACTTAAGGGTGGCTTCATAATGCCAGCCAACACTCTGCAAGCCAGGCCAGCACCACTCGACAATTGTAGGCTTTTGCTGAGAGGAACGGATAGTCAGTTTGCTTGTCGGCGCCGGTGGCATAGTGAAGGTTTGCTGGCGTGAAGGTTCTTTGGGAGCAGGAGATACCATGAATTTTGCAATACCTCTTGAACTCGTTGAAGATAAGGCGAAGTTTGTCTGCAACTTCGGTGATGCCATCGCAATATACATTGTGTTCCATGAGCCATAAAATCCCCTCCGCACATAGATTCTGGAGGATTCCAAGGTTGAGAATGTGCATTGTGCATCCTCGCCTGAGATATAGGTCAGGGAATTAAAATATATGACCAATTCACTGTTTACTTAGGGCTTGCCCCCCTTATTAGGATTAGGTTGAACGACCAAAATACCCTAGGGCTCCAGTTACCTTAATAGTAGGTTACTGGGGTATATAGTATATGGTTAGAAACCTACTATACAGGTAACTGGAGCCCTAGGGTATTTGCAGTTACAATTGCAAGTATAAGAGTCAGCATCGCCACATGGAACCCCGGGATGAGAATCACGGGGTTTGGGCTGGCCGGAAACACGTGAAGAAGTGCATCTGTATGGGAAAGGCGGACCCAGTCTGCTCCGAAGTTTGTGTAGAGAACTCCATGGTTTGCCAATCGGCCGGCGTTGCAACGGTGACAGATCAAACCCCGCTGCCAGTTGCGAAGTAGGCCAAAAGTCTCTCTCATATACTTTTGATCACCCTTGTATTCGGTAACCGCATACCGACCCGAAAGTTCGGGTTTGCTTTCAGCCAGCTGCAATTGCCTTCTGCTCAAGTCCGAAGCTGTGCCGCTGGGGCCTGCTTTCGGGCGACGGCCGCTAAAAGCCACCGAAAAGCTCCATGCGGCCCTGTGGTAGATCGGCCTCAATGTCTCCTCCAAATGAGAATGTTAACAAAGCATTAATTATGCGATCCCCGAAGCCACAACCTCTTAGTAGTCGAAACCGTGTCAAGTAACCGTCACAAATTTCTCCTCGCCAGCACAGTAGAAGGAGTTCACAACAAAGTATGTAAAGTTCTTCTTCCATGGCTCGCCTTTACAGGGATGACGTAACGATAAGGCTGGGCTGCGATCAGCTAGCTAGACCACGTATTTAGAGAAGAATATGTCCTAAACCCCGATTCACACCGGCCTTTGCATTTGTGCAGGGTGAAAGTGAACATCAGTGCGAGAAACGAATCTCCCTGCTTCGTGAACTGAGCCTCGTCCCCATAGACCTGAATAGAAAGCCCCTTAAGGGTTGCGATTTTGGGATTCCGGATTATAGGGTATGCGAAATATTGTTAGTTGGGGTTCCAAGGACCTGGGGCCCCTAAGGGTGCATAGTTGTTGTCCGAGGTGCAGAGATGGGAATGCAGTGCTCGTCAGCAGGATGCCGGACGGCCCAGCCCACACCACGGGATCTGAAGTGATTCCAATACCGCCTCAAGGGATGCTAAAAGCTATTGTGATTGATTTAGGGAGTGCTTCACTAACAGGCTTGGGCGATTAAGAAATAGGTTTCGACCTAGATGCACGATCTCGTCGTCAGGGATATAGATTCGCTGCGTGGACCATATGTACTCGATGTATTCGTGGGGATCCAGAAACGGCAGAGCCTTCTCGACCCTTTGTTTTGGATCTTCAGGATGGAGGATAGGTACGGTAACCCAGTTGAAGTCCTAAGTGGTCAGGGAACTATATGACTTGTAAGACAGGAATCATTGGATCGATTGGGATATTTAGTCAGGGCACGACAGGAAGTCTCAAATAGCGAAACAAATCGCGATCACAGTTCGCCAGCCGCTTGTGGTTGTACATCTTTGCGACCCGGGCGGTGACGGGACTCACATTCTCGTTTCCAGCTTCCTTGCAGTATGCACTTCAGAAACAGATGATCAGCCTGTGCACAAGTGCATTATTCGTTATTCTACGGCCCACCCTTTGGTCCTGGACAGCCGCATAAGCATTTTCCACGATGGCTTTGGCACTCTGCCGACCTTCGCCCAGCGACTTGAACCTAAGCTTCTACAAAGTATGTCAACACACCCAGCCACCCCGGACAAGCTAAGCAACTACGGAATTACCGGGGATCGCACATGTGAGTAGCCAGTGCAACATTCTCCTCAGAACTTTCATCGCCATCAGACTCCAGCTCGATCCCTGCGGTGGGCGAGGGCCGGATAATCAAACGAATCCACCCACAAGCAGATCTAGATTGAAGCTTCAAACGTGCATTCCGCCCGGCCGAGGTTTCTGTTTATGGCATCGGCGGCTGCAGCAGTTGCACGAGGCTCGCTCCTCGCTGTCCCCTTAAAAGCACTCAGACCTACAACACGATTCGCCCTCTCCGGAGCTTGAGTGCTGCAACCCCACTAGTGGTAGGATTCTTTGGCTAGCTGCTTGAGGCCCGGGCTTAGGGTTTAGGACAGCATAGTGTAACAGTCCTGGCGCTTAAGAATTCAAGGTCCAGGGTATAGCTGGTTGTACTGTGTGTAGCAGCCCCGGCCCCTGACCCATAAACGGTTTTCAACCTACACCTCTGCCCTACATGCACACAAGCACCTATGAGAAGGATGTTCGTGCCCTCCACGAGTGCGTATGATCTGTTCCGACGGTTTCGTCTGATCATTTGCAAAACTACTTTGCTCCTGCCTTCGCCTTTGCCTTGGGTTTTGCCTTTGGTGGCTTAGCAGCAGCATTGGATTTCCTCTCAGCAGCACGAACCGGCTCAGAGGCCGTTCTGAACTTCTTCAGGGCATCTTCGAGCTCCTTAACTACTTACAGCATACAGTGTGGTATCCATATTGTATGAAAGTGTTGCATCGACAAAGTTTGGTATTTAGCCAGGTGACATGGAAAAGAGGCTTCATCGAATCTTCCGGAAGCTTCTGGCCGATGGCAATCGCAACCTTAGTCTTAACCTTCTCCAGGTCGCACTTCGCGGGGTCCACATCGGCCATGATGGCCGCCTTCATGTGGCTGGCCCTGGGACAATGCTGGTAGTTTAAGGTTGTAGGGTCTGGGGTTTGGGGTTCGAATAAGACCGCGAGTTTAGGAGTTTGTAGAGGTTGGGGTTTAGGGGATCATAAGGTATGTATAGGAGTTGGGGTCTGGGGTTTAGGGTTCGAGGCTCTAGACCTAGAGTATAGGATTTAGAGTCTCATAATTATGGATCTCTAGAGTTCTTTTTCTCTACTCGGCAATTAATAGAGACTGCCTAATAAGCCAGCCCTAGCGATAAGCTTGAAGTTGCCAATCCCAGGCTGCAGTAAATCAGGATGCACATATACGTATACAGTACTGATGGAATGATGCATAGGTAGTGTGTACCGACCCTATAAACCCTTGACTACTTGACGAGTTTCTGATAATGCATAAGACAGCAGGATCTCGGACTTATGACCCAGGGCTTACGACGAGGGTTTCGGGGATGTGTGTCCCAGGGGTTTTCGGGCGACCTCGGGCTTGTGGCTCTCGGGTTTTTGCTAATTAAGGGCTCAGGGGTTTACGAGTGAAGTGCTTGTTCAGGGTGCCGGCCAGGATACTGCAGAGTCATAATATTTATATAATAGGATACCTTTTGTTGGCTAGGGTTAAGGTCTAATTTATGGGCCCAGGTGCACACCAGCAGCGGTCAGGATCTGCTTGAAGCCTTCATACTCAATGATCTCCTTGTTCGCCCGCTTATCAGCCTTGGTAAGCAGCTATGTACGACGGTTTCATCGTACTGTCTAGGGGGCTTAAGGTTGCAGGAGTTTGGGGTTATAAAATCGAGGGTCTATGCGGGCTCTGTAAGGATATTGTATTGTAAGGTTTCTGAAGTTTGGGGTTTTGGGTTTGGGGTTCGTGGTTTAGGGTCTAGGGGGTTGGGATCTATATGCAATCCGTTCAAGTGGCATCCTGGGCTTTGTCCCTCCAAGTCTTCTCCTTCTTTGCCTTCTTCGGCTCGCGGGGTTTGGGGTTCGGCGGTGGCACATTGCCATCTGTAGGCGCCTGCGGCATCTCTTGGTCCATTAAGGCCTCCCTTGGCACACGATCAGCAGCTAGCAAAATATACTTACACGATTGTTTGATTTCATCGAGTGTATATAGTACTAGTACCCGACAAGCCACATTGCATCATGCATGTCTTCTTCATCCACATTCTCTGCCTCCATCTGGAACTCGGCGGAATTCTCAAAGGTTTTCTGGGAGATGTCCTTGATCGTGTCGAAGCTGTTTAGCAAGGTCATTTCCTGCACATCGATATCTAGAAGGGCTATCCCTAGGGCTCCAGTTACCTTAATAGTAGGTTACTGGGGTATATAGTATAAAGTTAGAAACCTACTATATAGGTAACTGGAGCCCTAGGGTATGGATCGAAATCCAGAAGCCCCACCGTAGAGCCGTAATCCCTACTACAAAGCCCCCTCTCCTCAACCTTCGGAAAGTTCGGGTGCTTCTGCAACAGCTTGCCGGTCATGCGGGGGTCGATCTCGAGGTGACGGGCGTACAAGTCGTTGGCCAAACTGTCGCCCAGTTCCGCCCTCAGAAACTTCAGGGTCTTCCAAACGTAGATTTCCTCCTGCTTCTTCTGCCTCTTGCTCCTTCCAGCATAGCCACTACAGAAATGATATCAAATAGTTTAGGACGCATTGGCCTTGGGTGTTCTGGGTTCTATGAGTCGACCCAAGACCCAACTGTAACTAATATACTAGTATTACTGCATAATTATCACCTTACCAATTAAAAGGTTTAGGACTCAAGGGCCTGGGGTTCTGATGCTCTAGGTGCTAGCTTTCATACATACTATAGTAATTAATGACCCCTAATTAGCTGCCCGATCCCTGAAACTCAAAGGCAGATGTTCTGTCCCCTCCCGGAAAGCGCCTATATTCTATGTGTTGTCCCAACACGAGTACCGAAGCTCATGATCTAGTATTGGTTAGTGATAGTATACCTAGGGCTCCAGTTGCCTAAATAGTAGGTTACTGGGGTATATAATATGTGGTTAGTAACCTACTATTTAGGTAACTGGAGCCCTAAAAGTATATAGATCTGAATGCAACGATATTCATAAGCCCCGATGCCACCCAAGCCTGAAACCCCGGACCCCGCCCGAAACCCCAGCATGAACCCCCTAAGCATATGAAGCTTTACACTCCTCAGCCTTACAGCTCGTGATTCTGCTAGGTTTCTGAGACTTCGGCTGGGGGTGTTTATTAGGCATTCAGGGTTTTGGGTTGAGGCCTGTAGGGTCCAAGACCTTAGCTAGCCGATCGCGAAGCTTAATAAGCTTGCTTGATCACTAATGCACTGGCCTCATCGTGATCACCACGGTGCTCTTCGACCATTCCGCCCGGCAGGACAGATAGTGCATGTACATCTCGTGCATGCGATTGTTGCGATCCGAGCCTAGGTGTGCACATACGTGTTATGCATATATTATTGTGTTAGTATAACACACACACACACACACACACACACACACACACACACACACACACACACACACACACACACACGTCCACACACACACACACACACAGCGGCTACATATCATATCTAGGTCTATCATTAAAGCATATTCCACTATTTCCCGATAAGTCTCTTCGCTCTGCATCAGCCATCTTCTGGCGAACTTCTGGCGGCGCTTTGGGGCCTTAGAGGTGTACAGATCATGCACCTTTTTTGCCGTACCATGCGACTCCCGATTCCTTTCTGAGAAACAGGCTCCGACCCGACCGATAGAATCTGGCGTACAATGCAGGCGGAGATAGGATAACACCGTACTTGTCCCTCCTCCACGAGTCGTCGGTGTTCGGCACCAGCTGGTTCGCCTCCTGCACTGGCGGGGGTGCTTGGCCACCAGCTGCCGTGTCTGCACCACTCTGCTGCTTGTCTTGTGGAACACTCGTGCTCGGCTTCTGTTCCGGAAGCTTCGTGCTCGGCTTGTCTTCTGGAACCTCCGTGCCTGGCTTGTCTTCTGAAACCGTGCTTGGCTTGTCTTCTGGAACCGTGCTTGGCTTGTCTTGTGGAACCGTGCTTGGCTTGTCTTCCGGAACCGTGCTTGGCTTGTCTTCCGGAACACCCGTGCTTGGCTTGTCTTCCGGAACACCCGTGCTTGGCTTGTCTTCTGGAACCCCCGTGCTTGGCTTGTCTTCTGGAACCGTGCTCGGCTTGTGTTCTGGAGCCCCCGTGCTCGGCTTGTGTTCTGGAACCCCCGTGCTGGGCTTGTCTTCTGGAACCCCCGTGCTTGGCTTGTCTTCTGGAACCCCAGTGCTCGGCTTGTCTTCTGGAACCCCAGTGCTCGGCTCGTCTTCTGGCCGCTGGCTCAGCGTGTCTTCCTGAACCGTCTTCGCGATGTACTCTTCAGTCTCGATGCCCTTCTCAATGGGCGGTTCCTCCAAGCTCTCTCTGCTGAGACTGCCCAGTGCCAAGGTGGTGGCGGAATCCAGGCTCCTCAAAGATCTAGAGCCTTTTTCCTTCTCCGATCCACTGTCGCTCTCGCCATAAGATTCGTAGGCTCTCTCGAGCAGTGTTTCCAGATCTGGCTGGCTCTCTTCTTCTGCCTTAATCTCCTCCACAGCGCCCCGGCGGCCCCATTGCACAGATGAGGCCTGCCAGTCACCTGCACTCCAAGAGCCGCTACCCCAACCCCAACCGTCCCAGGACGATGGGGTGCGGCGGTACCATGAATCCCAGCCGTGTGCATCCCAGGCTGAGTGCCAGGACTCGTCGCCCCACCACTCATCGCACTTCTTCTCAGTCGGGGTATCCACAGACATGCTTCCGGGTGTCGCGAACTCTTTCGCCAGCACCTTCGGCCCCAATGGCGTCATTGTCGTCGACATGGGAGATGCCGAGGGCACCTGGCTGCCGGTCTCCGCAGCGGTCCAACCTCGATCTTACCGTTTTAAAGATTAATTGAACATACCCGTACCTCCTGCCTACTTACCTACCTGGCTGGCTACTGACCCAGCCATGTAGATCTATTGACATCTACAGCTGTCTATGTGTGTATCTACTCTCTAGATCTATTACTTATCGCTACCTATATTTCTACATATATACATATGTAGTTATAGCTTGTTGCCCTGCATATCCATTGTTCTGTCTACGTGTTTGTATCTACTCTGTAATGAAGATCTAGCAACCGTTACACATAATTTATTTATTTATAATTAATTAACATGATATATATATATATACACGAACATGTATGCATGTGACCGATCATTTCTAGGTGTGCATGCCTGCATTACTGCATCCACGACAGCTTGCCATGTCTACCATCCAGTAGAGCTGCATGTTGTAAAGTTTCGGGTATTGGGTTGTTAGGTTGTAGGGCGATATGAATAATTGTAGCTTGGCTGCTCCGGCGAATCGGTGCTGGCGTAGAGGTCTCAGCAGTACTAGTAGTAGCCGTAGTCGAAGACTTCGGCCTCATCGACAATCCGAATCTTTCCCAAGTGTAGGGTTGCGATTTTAGGGTGTAGGGTTTAGAGCCTGCCGGACATTATAAGGTTTATTACATGGCTCTTAAGGATATGTATATATATATAGTATATTATACGGTTCGGTGTCTATATATATAGATATATATATATATATATATATAATATATTATTATATATCAAAGGGTTCGGCTTTTAGAGGCCGGCCACTTGGGCCTAGGAAGTCATAGTGTCGACAGGGGTTAAGGGATTGAGGGTGTAGGGTATACTAGTACATAGATCGGAGTTGCGTTGAGTGCTAGAGGCAACTGGAAGTCACACCCCAAAACCCATAATAAATTTGCAGAAAGACACGACTCTGGGGTGTTGGAGGATGGCGGCTGCTTCGCCTTCGCTGCTGGCACAGGCGGCGGGCCCTTTGTTGACAACCTTTTCGTAGGCACAGCAGCTTCTGCTCCGGTGCGAGGCTTCTTCATGTCCGGGCTTTTGATCGGGGTCCTGGGCTGGCATGCAAAAATTGCAGATTGAGGCTTGTAGCTCCGATGGTTTGCTGCGAAATACCTATTAAATGCCATACCGAGAGTCGACTTCGCAGACACAGAAGCCGGGGCAGGTGCTACTTTCGGGGTGGGCGTAACACCCTTGGCTAAAGCTGCCCTCGCCTTAGCCTGGGCAATGAACTTGCTCACGTCGGCCCCCGCAGCCGTGCAGTTGGATCCATTGCCACGTTTCATATCCTGCGTGAACCGGAGATTTTCGTAGGGCCACCTAAGGGGATTTGGGGCGTTACGGTTCCAGGCCCTGTGTTACGGTTCCGAGGCCTCCGGTTACGGTTCCGAGGCCTCCGGTTACGGTTCCGAGGCCTCCCGTTACGGTTCCGAGGCCTCCTCCCCCACCCACCCTGCCCCTGGCGCCTACTGCCGCAGCCCTCACGGGTCGCCTCTTCCATTGCGCCCGGCTACAAATTGTCTGAAAATTTAGAGGAAAGCCTGAAAATCCCGAAGCAGGCGTTGTCCTGTATCCGCTTTGCCTGCACTCTCTGCAGGCGAGATGTCCACACCGCAGTCCTCAGAGGCACAAGGTGATATTTCTTATAACATGCTTCGGGTTTCTGACTTATAAAGCTTGTCGGGCTTGAGGGCTTCGGGTTTAGGCGTAGGGATCGTGGGTTTTTGTAGATGGGATACGACTTCTACATAATACATATAAGACATATACATACATACACACACATACATGCATACATACATGCATACACACATACATACATGCATACATATGTATGCAAATATAATATATATATATATATATATATATATGGATATAGATAGCTATATATATATATATAGATATAGATATAGATGTAGATGTAGATGTAGATATATATATATATAGATAGATATAGATATTATATATAGATATAGATATAGTTGCAACATACCGTACCACATCATATCTCAACATATATTTCATAATATGTGATCATACCGTGTCATATCATGGCCATATCATATCACGATCTCATCTCATATATATATATATATATATCAATCACGATGCGTACATACCATAGCAGCATCCGTCCGTCCGTCCATCCATCCATCCATCCAACCATCCACCCATCCATCCAACCTTCCTTCTCATCCATCACAGACACACACATATATATATGTGTGTGTATATATATATATATATATATATGTATATCACATGGCTGATACTGGCTGCCTGCTTCCCTCGATAAGGAAGGCTCACTCTATCGGACTTCAGGACCTCGGGTTTAGGGCAGAGGGTTCGGGCGATGAAATTAAGGGTCCTATAGGTTTGGCGGTGATTCCTGTCGAACGGCGGTATATTGCGTTTCAGCACCGATCTAGTAAGTACATTACTGATCATGATCGCTGGATTGAATGCCAAGGGGTTAAAGGGGATAAGGGTCCCGTGCACACCGACATCGAGCATCCAGAGCATCTAAGCATCATGGGCAAGGTCGTCACAGTCGTCGCTGGCCGGTTTTGGAGCCGGACAAATTTCAGAACCAGCGGCACAAACGTGTCGAGACGATCAGGGAGCTCAAGGCCTCCGAGATGTACCGGGCGTTCAACTCCGCCAAAGCTTTGAGCCCACCGGAGCCATCGACTCCGGACACCACGAAGGTTCTCAGACTCGTGGGAGGACCAGTTCATCTGGGCCCACCACACTCGTCGAGATGCTCTGTGGAGACACATCAGCTATCCTCCATCACGGAGCTGGTTTTGACAATATCGGGGCACCACCACATACCCGGCAACCAAAGCCTCTGGGACATCAGCATCACCAACCATCACACCCACCCGCCCCACCCTAATAGTCTAGGTCTTGGTCACTCGTTGTGCAATACTCTAGATCTACTCCTGTCGCCTCGCCCGGGCATCCTGTACTCTCACGACCGCAAAACCGATGTTAGGGGTCCCCGATCCAAATAGAAGGTTTCTGGCTTCTAGTGTTTAGGGTGTGTTCTGTGCAAAGTTTGGGCTTTAGTTTACGGCTTTTTAGATGTATATATATATATATATGTATATATATATATTTATATTTATATTTATATATATATATATATATATATATATTATTGCAAAATTCTATATCATGCATATACATTCTTGGCTTCGGGTTCCTTATTTAGTTCTTGAGGCCTGTTCATGTACTGCCCGGCAACCAGCTGAAAGCCAGGACTCGGGTAGCGATACGAGTACTAGGATCCAATATATTCGGACACCCCATGGCCAATTTTGACACCCAGCCTTAATTAAATCTTCACCCGGTGCTACACTTAACGATGAACCCTAAATCTCCGATTGCACAGTGCTTGTCCAAGACCCAACTTTTCGGATTTTATATAAGACTAGAGTCAAAGCCCTTCATATATGCAAGCCCCAACCCTAAGCCCTACAGATTCGGCATACTTCCTCAGAGGCTTCGAGTTTCCAGTTGTAGTTCCAGGGCTTTCAAGTATGTGCTGTTAGCAACACATGAGTACCATCAAACACCGACCCCAAGCTTGTGGTTTCAGACTACCTGGCCTGGGGCTACCCTAATCTTGCCCGATGGAATCTCTACACCACAAACACTTAAACCCTACAGTACACCCTAGCTAATCTTGACCTTAATTACCACACCCCTAGTCCTGAACTGCAGGTCCGTGTGGCTGCCGAACCGCCGGTCCGTGTGGCTGCCAAAGCGCCGAGGGCGAGGCCTAGGTTATTTAGCGGTTTTCGGTTTTAAGGGTTTAGGGAAGCTATTTTTTTTCGGAGGTGTAGGCCTGATAGGATCGGCAGGGCTCTGTCTAACCGGCTTGGGATATTAAGGGCTTTTTTGGAACTCGGCCTACGAACCCAATCTGGGCTTGCCGGTTCAGGCATCTGTAAGTTCGGGATATTCGTAGAGTATTAATACTTAGCAGCAACAGGAGCAGGAGTGGAAGTAGTCCACGGCAATAGGAGTAGTAGTCGTAGTGGTAGTGGTAGGAGTAGTGATAGTAGTAGCTAGTAGTACTAGTAGGTGTTGTTGCTGTAGTGTAGTAGCAGCAGCAGGTTAGTAATTTCCCTAGTACAGTACTGGAACGTTCGTGACTTCGGGATGATCGGTGACCAAAATATGATATATGATTCTGGGTTTGCAGACCAGAAAGCTTTCATTCTAGCGGGTTGCAATCTCTGAACCTTTGAAGGAATCGACATACTGCACTGGGTTTGACCCACATTCATTGCACACCGAGGCTGGGCCAGGACACCCCCTTGCTAGCATGTCTTGCACAAAGACTGCATCAAGGCTTTCAGCTTCGTGCTGAACTGATCATTCCAGTCGCACATCTGAGCAACCACATCAGAAAGGGCAGACGTGTTGCACAAGGCGCCCGACAAAGCAAGCTTTACTTCGAGACGGCTCTCGAGGCACTGCGGTGACTGCAGCTGGACGTACGATCAACCATTCGGGCACCCCCCACACACGACCACCCCGTTTAGGTTTGCCACGTTCGCCATACAGAGTCAAATAGGAACATTGAAATCTGCTGATAATGATATAGCACCCTGAGCCCTGGGGGAATTCGGTGAAACATCTAGTCAGCGGATTGAAACTCGGGCTTTGGAAAGAACGTTTGTAAGGTGTGGGATTTCGTACCCGGAGCTTGTTCCGATTTTAGGGATTTGGACTTTCGGCTTATCATGTAGGCCCCAAGCACCGTTGAGCCCCAACAGGTTATAGTTTTGGGGTTTAGCAACCTAAACCGCCCTAAGCCCTAAGCCTCTTCCACTCGCTAGTGTTAGGGCTCAGGGTTAAGTGAATCCTTTATATAGTTATCGGGACAAATCATACCCCTGCACACTTGGGGTTCTACACCCAAC